ATGTGAAAAATGATATTGGAATTATGATAAGGATTTAATTGAATCTGTGGAACACTTCAGGTAGTATATACATTTTATTATTAATTCTTCCAATTCATGAATGTGTGGTATCTTTACATTTATATGTGGCTTCTTTAATTTCTTCTGTCAATGTTTTATAGTTTTCAATGTACTGACCTTTCACCTCTTTGGTTATTTTTAAGTATTTTATTCTTATTGACGGTATTGGACATGTATTTGTTTTCTTATATTCTTTTTTGTATAGTTCTTTGCTAGTGTATAGAAACACACTAATTTTTGTATGTCAATTTGTATCCTGCAAGGTCACTGAATTCATTTATTAGTTCTAACAGTTTTTTGGTGGAGTCTTTAGTGTTTTCTGTACGTAAGATCACGTCATCTGCAAACAAAAAAATATTACTTCTTCCTCTCTGATTTGGATGCCTTTTATTTCTTCCTTTTGCTTAACTACTCTGGCTAGGTCTTCTAGTACTATGTTGCATAGAAGTGGTGAGAGTGGGTATCCTTGTCCTGTTCCTGATCTTAGAGGAAAAGCTTTCAGCTTTTCATCATTGACTATGATATTAGCAGTGGGCTTGACATAGATGGCCTTTATTATGTTGAGGTACATTCCTTCCATACCTAATTTGTTGAGACTTATTTTTATCATGAAAGGATATTGAATTTTGCCATATTCTTTTTCTGCATCTATTGTGATGATCACACGATTTTTATCCTTCATTCTGTAATACAGTGTATAACATTTATTGATTTTTATATGTTGAAGCATCCTTGCATCCCAGCGATAAATCCCACTTGATCATGTTGAATGATCCATTTAATGTGCTGTTGAATTCAGTTTGCTAGTATTTTGTTGATGACTTTTGTGTGTATGGTCATCAAAGATAATGGTCTGTTATCTTCTTGCAGTGTCCTTGTCTGGCTTGGGTATCAGAGTAATGCTGGCCTAATAAAATGAGTCTGGAAAGTATTCCCTCCTCTTCAGTTTTTTGGAAGAGTCTGAGAAAGACTGTTGTTATTTTGTTAAATATTTGGTAGAATTCAACTCACCATTGATCATGGTCTTTTTTTGTTGGGTGGTTTTTTCTTTTAATTACTGATTTAATGTCCTTAGTTGTTATTGGTCTGTTCAGATTTTCTATTTCTTCATGTTTAAGTCTTGGTGGGTTGTATGTTTCTAGTAATCTATTCACCCCTCCTAGGTTATTCAATTTATTGGTGTATAAATGTTCACAGTAGTCTCTTATGATCTTTTTATTTCTATGGTATCAG